TTCAATCAGTCGTTTTGTCGTTCAATCGGTCGTCCATTAAGTTGGTCAATCAACCAATCAGTAATTCTATGCGCCGCTCATTCAATCATTCGCTCTCTCATTCCGTCGGACAATCAATTAGTCATTCATTCATTCCTTTATTCAATTATTCATTCGTTTATTGAATCTACCAAATATCTTATTATTAAGTTATTTATTCAATCGTTTTCTATTTCATCAGTCGGTTATTTTATCATTCTCCTTTTTATTCAGTCACTCACTCAATCAGTCTGTCATCCCTTCGGCTAATCATTCAATCAGTCGTTTTGTCGTTCAATCAACCAAACCGTAATTCAATGCGACGGTCATTCAATCACTCGCTCACTTCATTCCTCGTTAACTCGCATGTTCGTGCAGGCGGGCAATCATTCACACCCACACACACACAATCCCAACCTGCGCACTGACAGACAGGCGAGTAGGAAATTGCGGAATCCACACGCTCCTTCGAGAAGACAACTTTACGCTTCATGCCGTGACGGTTGGAGGTCGGATTAGCTCTTGTCTCCCCAGTTTTGTATGCCGTCCAACTATGATTATGCATCATCTGTCTCTCGAACCCGGTCATGTCTGCGACTGTATGACCAATCTGCAATTGGGCATCAAATAGCCTCATTACTACCGGACAGAAGAAGAGACAGACGCTCTCGCCTGCCGACCGACGGGGAGTCGTGGCAACGGTCAACCATGTCGTGGCATCGATCAAATGTTGCTTTATCCTTTGTTGGTCTTCCATTCGCCCATCTGCTTTTCACTCGTCCCTGCCATTTCACAAACCTCACTTTTCGTAAAACCTACCACTTCGTCACGCTCTTCCGGCCGGTGCATGCCTTGGAGACCCTCATTGGGTGTCTCCTCGCAGGCGCCAATGTCCATTCGGTACCATCCGAGGCGTTTGGCCGATTGACGAGACCTCGTGGAAGCGACACATCTCCCGAATGATGCCAAAAATGGTCGGCTTTTCATGCATCTTCGACAGCCTCAATTGAAAGTGTCTGTCACAAATATTAAGCTGACCGCAAGCCGACAGTTGATGTTGGTTGTCATGATGGCGCTGTGTTTAGTGAAACAATTGCCAGGTTACATTTACAGCTGTACAAATGTCTGTCTTTCTGTTTCCCCACGCGACGCAACAGGTTGTCCTGTTGACTTTTCCGTTGAAAGGAACAGATTGTTGCAAGAAAATGTGTCAATTTGTCTCATCCGAATCCGAGGGGTTTGTTGGTGACCAGCGCAGGTGTGAAGTGAAGCCAACGCATGCCGGCTTCATACTGAACCTCATCTCCAAGCATGGTTGCAAAGCAAAGGCTGGAATTTTAAAATCTTGGATTATTCGCAGCATAAGACTTAAAATCGGCTTAAAATAATATTTCTTGACAATAACTAGCCACAAGGCTTGATTGAAAATAAGATTAGATTAATAAAGAATAGTTGGGTTTCG